ACAAAAAGGACAGTTTCTTTGATCCTATGGGAAAGCCCCACAAAATAACCAAAAGGCTCCTGCCCCATTTGTCACATGGCTGCCACGATTCGCAGGTGGTGTGGCAGAAATGAAATCCCACACTGATGAAACCTCATGTGGGTATGTGCTCCCCCAGTGCACTCTGTGCTGGACAATGGCCTGGGCAGACACCTGTCTGAAGTGCCTTTGTGAATATGCAAGAGGAGGATATTCCATTTCAGTTCTTGAAGCTATTAAGGAGTCCCAGTGAAATGGTCATTACAGACCTGTCAGGCCAAAATGTGCTGCACTTACAGAGCTTTTGTATGATTTGCCTCTAGCTGACTGTAAAGAGTGAGGATGATACATAGCATCCTTTTTATAGAGATCTCAAAGAGATAAATAAAAATAGTTTTCTATCTAGAAGATGCAAAGTGCAGGTAGGTTAAGTGAAAAATCAGTCTCTCACAGCAGGGCAAGAGGAGAACTGGGGACAGAATCCAAATCAGCTGATAACAGTCCTGTGACCTCAGCACTAAATGGGGATCTTCCTGTACTTACAGCCTCTTTCTCAGAAAAGTTTGTCCTGCCAAGGTGTTCTCCAAAGAGTACCACTGGTCTGGGAGTCCTGCTGCAGGAGGATGAGCAGAGAAGGCTCCTTCAGTAACAGCCTTTCCAGGGCTCCTCCCAGAGCTCAGAGATCTTACTGCCTTCTTTGGTTTTGGGCTCTTCCTGACTTTTAATTTAATCTGAAGGCTGTGATTCATTGTTACTCAGCAATAAACTGCTTTCCTTAAAATGGCTAATCAAACTTAGATGAGGCCCTTGAGCAATGGGAAGATTGATTAGATATATTAAAGGTTAGATGTAGAGCAAAACTGTAGACCAGGGCATAAACTCCTATTGAGTTCCATAGAATTACAAACTGGTATTTCCACACATATCTTTTCCCCCTGCTCTATCCCATATTTTTATGTATTTGTGTAACTACTCCAGCATCCTGAAATAGGGAACTGGTAACCTCTCCCATGCTTTGATAGCTCCACACCCTACACATTGTAAACTAGTTAACATGGCAGAAAATCTGCAGTGTCACAGACTCTGCCCTGTGCTGTACATTCACCCATGGGAGGGATGAAAGGGATGTTTCTGATGGCAAGGGCGGGGAGGTGGGCAAGGAAGAGAGCTTGTCCTGCAGACATTCAGGAGTGACCACCTGTGTGTGAAAGAGAAGCTCTCAGCAATGTTTAACTGATGGTGCAGACCTGAATCCCCCACTTGAACACTTATGTCCTTAGCAATGTTTGCTTTCTAACTCCCCAAAATCTTCAGCAGTGAAGATGCTGCATCCCCCTAGATAGCCTGTTGTGGAATTTACTATAACTGCTGCTGGAAAGCATCCTTAAATTGATAGGGATAATTGATAATTGATAAGGTGGTACAATGTGGGGAAATGAACTGACCAGCAAGTTCCTGTTGTATGGTCTTTATACTGTCACCTGAGCCACAGAGGACAAGTCATATCAGGCTAGAACAGCAGAGCAGGTGACCTTCAGACCTACTCTAATATTGAAGTCCTTATGCCACCACGAAAATAAAACATTCACACCAACTGCCAGACAGCAGGTCAGTTTTTCCAGCTGATCCTCTGTCTTATTATGTAAGAGACATTGTTTGATTATTGCTCTCTGCTAACCTCTGCATAAATCAGCCATTACTGACTAGAACAGAAATTGTTACTGAAAATTCAATCAGTGTTTCACTGACTTTTTAATACACCACCATTGTGTACATCAAAGTGCATTAACCTGCTTGAGCCTATTGGAAAAGGTTTGATTAATGAACTCCATACTAGCTAACAACAACATAAGAGAAAGGAGCAGTGGTCCAGGACTTGGGAGGGATGGCAAAAATTAAATACAAATTTCTCAACTTCAGAACTCATAAATGGTTTATTTAGGAGAGGGCACTATCCTTTATTTCACCTACAAAGGTGTTTTTATCTCCTACACAATTTAATTTCTGGTTTGCTTTGGCTGACACATGTTCATAGAATCACAGAACCACAGAACTTCCTGAGTTGAAAGGAACAAGGATCATCAAGTCCAACTGGCCCTGTCCAGAACAACCCCAGTAACCCCACCATGTGTGTGAGAACATTGTCCAAACTGAGCATTGGCTTCTTGGGCTCTGTCAGGCTGGTGCTGTGACCACTTCCCTGAGGAACCTGTTCCACTGCCCAACTCCCTGGTGAAGAACTTCTTCCTAATATCCAGCCTAAACCTCTCCTCACACAGCCTCATGCTGTTTCAAAGCCCTTGTCTATGAGACCTAGTGACATGTGAGGCCAGCACAGATGATCCATACCTTCCCTTTCCCTTTCCCACAGAAATTTATAACTGCACAGTGTGTGATGCTCATGGGCACAAACTGCCTTGCAGATAATGCTGCCACTTGATGGTATCCAAGGTTTAAAATTTGGGAAACTGCTGACACTGGTCAGTGACTTTGCTTGGGGCACACTTGGTGTCAGGGAAGGAAATGTCTTACACCATACAAATATGACAGGATGGATCCATCCCAAAATCAAATTAATCCCTTAGGGGAAAAAACATGCCAACAAATGGGTTTCATTACTGAAACTGCAAGAAGCTCCTGGAAAACCCCACAGGTAGAAAAGGGGCCACATGAATTCAGCACTCATCCAGTCCAGGGACACAGTCCCCACTCTGTCATATTACTGCTGCATTCAAAGGCAGGATTTAGGAGACAGGTTCATTGCAAGGCTGCAGCTGTGACCATCTTAACTTCACATCAGAGTAAACCACATGGAAGATCTTAGCCTTAGGAAAGCTGCCTGTAATGCAAAGCAGCTATGAAAAGGCCCTTTTACATCTCTTCTATCCTCACTCTCTCTATATATCAACCTATTTATGTATATACTTCTACCTACCATGAAGGTAGAGAAGATGGAACCAGACTTTTCCAGGAGGTGTACAGTGAAAGGTAACAGACACAAACTGAAACATGGGGAATTCTGATTATAAATCTTTTTTTCATTATGATGGTCAAACACTGAAATTGCGTCAGAGAGCTTGTAGGATATTTGTTTTTGGAGCTACTGCTAATTTAACTGAACCAAGCCCTGAGCAACCTGCTAAAAATTGGTCCTGCTTTCAGCAGCAGGTTGGACTATATCAACCCCATGAGTCACATTCATCCTAAATTATTGTGTGATTTTTCCTGGGTAAATTTGGAACCAGACCATAGGTCCTTAGTAAATATTAATGTATTTCTATAATACTTAAACTGACCCTCTGCACTGATCAAGAATGGAGACAGGCTGCCAGTACTCAGCTAAAAGAAATAATGGCACTACCCACAAAATACCCACAAGGGCCAGCACCCACACTGGAGAGCTCTACACTCAGAAACCTCCTCCAGTGCACTCAATGAACACTTCATCCACCATGGACTCAATGTGTCCAGGGAGATTCTACATATACCCTGCTCAGGGAGATTCTACATATACCCTGCTGTGCTCAACAGACCTGTGACTACAGACCCTGGTTCCATAGTGAAACCTTCTAGAATATGATGCACTGAAAGAAAGATTACTGAGGAGTTAAAAAAAAAAAAAGAAATCTTACAGGATCTCAATATGTATCTTATTCTATCTGAAGGGTTCAACTATGAGGATAATTTCAAGGCACTCAATCTTAAGAGAGCACTGTGAGAGACTGAGAGAATTTACATATACTGTATTAGTTATGATCTGATGCTTTCAAGTGATATCTATCGATGCCCAAAGGTATTTTTGGGCCCATACTTTCTTCACTGACTGTTTTTATGTAGTTGCTTGCCAACTACTGACAATCTGTTTAGAAATATCAAGGAACATGAAATCTGGAGGTGTATCAGTGTGTGAGCGTCCACTCCAAAACCTCTGGGAAAATAACCTTCAGGGATGGCAATCGGCCAGAGAAGCAGTTTGAAGCCAGCTAAGATAAGAATAAATATTCATGGCAGCTAAGGATTTTGCATTTAATACCATTCTGCTAATGCAGATAAATATTCAGATTTCCCTGGCTTCTGGAGAGTAAACCCGGTTTTAAAGAGAAATCCACACAACAGCATTCAAATACCATTATAACTGCTGGAGAGGGCTTTGGGTGACGTGGTACCCTAGATTTCACAGACCAAATGAAATCTCAGCAATGTAAACATCTACATCAGACAACAGATGCAGAAGCATTCATGCTCTGTATCACTGCTGCCTATGGCAGAGGGATGGCTCTACCTGTATCATAGTGTCATCCAAAGTTACGATTTTACTACTTTTACTCCTACCCACGTGTCTCTGTGCTAAGGCAAACGTTTCTGTGGTATAAATCCCAAGCTCACAGTTAAGTGTAACTGACTCTGAAGTGATGACTACTTTCACAAGACTCAGTTTACAGGGAAAATACACAGCTGAATTAGAGTTAACCATGCTGTTGCAGCTATCAATCATGTTACAGCAGCAGATCTGCAGAACCTCCCAACCAGGTAACGCTTTCCTCTCCAGCTGACCAAGAAGTCAGACTTGCATCCTGTCCCCACCACAAAGTTACATCACATGCAGAAAAGAACTTAGAATAAATTATTCAAAGGGAAGCAGAATCAAAGAAGATTATTTCCCTTCCTCTGTAGATTCACAAGAAGAATAACTTTGTTCTACAGCCCATTATTAAAACTCTTCACAAGTAACCACACCACATGACACTTGCACCCCAGCTGGATGCTACATGGGGTTATGACTGCAGAACCACTGAGAAGTCACTCCACTTTCTCACACATAAGTTAGGAGCTTAATTCAGAACCTGATCTTTAAACTGTTTTCAACACACTTTCAGACTTCATGAAAGGAAATGAGCAAGATGACAGATGGACCAGTTGTTTACTTTTTTCAGCTCTCAGACTGCTTTAGCTTACTGCATCTTATTCCTTCTGTGCCATACCTTAATTTCTGGATTAGAGCCTCTTTAGAGTGAACACTCACACTTTCTCTTCCCTCTTGTGACCATAGTTCTGTAAAAGGTTCAGAAAAGAGGGCAAGTAGCTCCTAAACAGCTCTAGGTGTCACACTTCTGGCTGGAAAAAAAAGGCAAGAGGAATGGAATTGGAAGGGGAAGTGCAGGCACAGGGCAATGAGAGGGCAGGGTTTTTCTTCCCCAGGCTTTCACTAGTCTTAAGCAAATCACTTCCCTTATACATTGCTATACATTAAAGTAATATTAAATTGTGCAGACTTCTAGGGTTTCCAAAGTACAATGCTCAGCTACCAGTGTACAGGTTTGAGGCATCAAAGCACTCTGGAATTCAAGGTGTTAAGATTAAAAATAACAAGCTAAAAGTTGGGAAATGTTTAATATGTGAAAAGCAATGATCTCAAGATATTTGAATGGCAAGTCACTGAAGGTGCATCTGGCATGGGAAGGTGCAATCTATGGCGCTCAACTCGGCCCAGCGGGCAAGCAGCCCAGCTCGCCGGTGGCTCACACGAGGAGCCTGCAGAGCCCTCGGCCTCTCCTTGCCTCCTGCCCCCGCCAGGCTTCCTGCGCCCGCCTGCAGCGCCAGCCGGCAGCGCGGCATCCCTGTCCCACGGCATCCCTGTCCCGCGGCATCCCGGTCCCACGGCATCCCGGTCCCGCGGCATCCCGGTCCCGCGGCATCCCGGTCCCACGGCATCCCTGACCCACGGCATCCCGGTCCCGCCGCATCTCTGTCCCACGGCATCCCTGTCCCACAGCATCCCGGTCCCGCAGCATCCTGGTCCCAAAGCATCCCTGTCCCGCGGCATCCCGGTCCCGCCGCATCCCGGTCCCGCAGCATCCAGGCCCAACCGGCACCGCCAGGCACACGCCAGAGCCTTTTCCATGGAGCCAGTTCTCCCTGAAACCTCAAATAACCAGACCCCCAGCCCGAGGACAGGGGTCGGGGCGGTTAGAAGGCATAGATTTGGGAATTACCGGAGACAGCCGGGTGCTGACAAAGAGCTCGGGGCTCTCCCCAGCCCCCCGCAAGCTGCAGCCCCGCACGGATCCCCGGCTGGGCTTTGATGCCCGGCTGGCTGCAGGGGGCCGCGGGCTGCCAGCAGCCCGCCCAGGGCACAGCCTGTTGCCGGGCACGCTAGGTACAAAGGCAAAGCACAGACCTTCTCCCGGGCCTCTCCGCGGGGAGGCTGCGCTTGTCCTGCCGGCCGCGGCCGCGGTGCCGGCGGGGAGCTGGGGCCGGCCGCGGTGCCTCACCGGCTCCACATCGATCCGCCCGCCGCCAGCCTCGCTGCTCTGCTCTCCACCCCCTCCTTCCAGGGGGACAAAAACGGGGCTGGGGGGGACCTTTCTATTATTATTATTCTAATATATTCTGGGGGCTTGTGGTTCCTGCAGCCGGGCGGAAGTGAACCCGCTTTCGCCCCCCTCCTCCTTCCGCGATGCTCCGGGGCTGGATGCGGGCGGCCCCAACAGCTCGGAGTCCGGTCCCGGGGCCCGGCTGCCCGCAGCCCCCGGGCGGCAGCGGCGTCCCGGTCCCTTGCTCCCCGGGCGGGGTGGGGAGGCGGTGCCGTGCCCGAGAGGCAGAGGTTACTTGGGAGGCAAAAAGGAGCGAATAATTTTCTCCATCCCAGTGATGGGCGGGCTGCCCGGTGCCCGCCGGGGCGCGCTCGGCGGCCCCGGAGCCCGCTGAGGGCAGCGGTGCCCTCAGTGACGCGCGGTCACAGCACCAGAGGGAAGGCTACAAAAAGCACCGAAATATAAAGGTGTCCGCTGGCTCCGTAGTGACATCCCGTGGTGCGGGGACACTACTGCCGGTGGCCGGCTGAGCCCGGGGCTCACCCAGGCCCCCGGAGCTTTGCGGGGTTCGGCGCTGCCCGCCGGCCCTGTCCGGAGCAGCCGCGCACCCCGCCCGAAGCGGCGCCGGGGGGTTCCCGCAGCAGCCCCAGTCACCATCCTTGGCTTGCTGTGAAACCGGCCTTTAAACCGGCATGCTGTTATACCAGCCTTGTGCTGCTGCTGCAGGGCTGCGCTGCTCTCGGGCACTGTGAGGCTTTTTGTGCCTTACAAACGTGTCACATCTTCACAGAACTCCGGAGAACAGCAAGGGTTCCGAGCTGCACTGTGCCGCCGGCCTCGCACCTAGGCTGAGGGGCAGACTGAGAGACACCAAATGAACATCCATCTAATGAAGGCAAATGGTAATTTCTTATTTCAGCATGTGCCATCATGTTGAATCAGACTTGCAGAACATCTCCCCCAGCCAAGAGGCACAATACAGATGAGGTGGTGAAACTGTCGCTCCCTAAGCCTTAGCTACTCTAGAGAACTCTCTGGTCACACAGCACAATGGGATGCTCTGATGGCCTGTGGCAGAAAAGGCAGGAAGAGAAAAGACAGTGACAAAGACCTGAACTCAGGGACCAAACCTGTCCACAATCAGGAGGAAAGTGTGAAGTCCACACTTAGGCACAGCTGAACTGAATGGATTCCAGCTTACAGGATGCTACTTGTAATGAGGACATGGTGGCATCAACCTACAAAAGCATTGGCAAGCTTGGTAAGATCCACGCCACCATGTGTACAAAGCTCAGATTGCCCAGACCAGAAAGATTAAGGCTAGCCTAGGCAGGCCTGAACACATAGCAAGTGAAACTCCTGATAATTGTTCTGTGGCATATGGGTGCAGGGTTGTGTGGGTGTAGATGGGTTGTAAAAGGCTCTTCTGAACTCTGCTACAGGAGTAACTCACATCAGATGACGCACATGCTCACAAGAAATGACTGTGACACTTTACTCAGATCTCTGTTGTCCCCAGAAGTCAACTGGTCTAAACACCAGGGTGGAACTGAAACTCTATGAAATTTTGTCTTGTGGGAACAGTGAAATGGTCAATGAAGCTGATATCTCTTTGTCTTGTTGTCTTGTCTTGTTCAGGACCTGCCATTCTGTGCAGACTCACCTCTGTGCTCAGTTTTGTGTTAAACATTTCCTTCACATCCCAATAGTGGTATTTTCTTGGTCAGCTGCTGCATTTGTCTCACAGCCTTGGGGTGTCTGTGTCCTCTACATTGCCAGTGGATGGCTGAACAGCCATGTCAGCAGAAATGCCCTCCTCCAGCTGGGACTGGTCAGAAAATTGCACCTCATCCTAAGGAGCGCATGCCTGGACACACTGCTGCATAAATTGTGTCTTGCAGCTTAATTACTGCAATTCCCTGTGCTTTGAAATAAACCACAGCAGGTGTAAAATACAGCAGATGTCTGCATAGCAAAGAAGAGCAGTGTGGTGCTTTGCTCACCCTAGATTCTTACCAAGAGCAGACTTTGGTCTTCTTTCCTGATATTCAAAGCCTTTCATAATCTTCTATAGCCAGCTCCTGCTGGAGCACTGCCACCATTGACCAAGGGGTGAGAAAAGACTGTGGGAGTTCCACATTTCCCAGGCAGTATTTATGCACTGTGGGACTTAGTTTGCCTCACAGAGATAGAAATAACCCAGATCTGAATGCAGTCAGAGGCAAGTGCAAAATTTCTCTCCTGAGCTTCATTTCTTCACACACAATCATGCAAAGGAGGCTGGTAGCCAGCCCAACAAATCCTATCCCTATAGTCTAATCAAGCTATTCCTATTAGTGGCTAGATAGAAATGTGAAGGAAAGGATTTTTTCTGTTTTAAAATACTTGAGAGGTATACAAGTCCGACAGAGATGGGAACCATCTAAATATATATAAAGACACAGTGAGATAAATTAACCCATCTGTTGTAATCTAGTAGTTAAATAAAACCAATTCTAAAAAAACAACAGTTTCATAAAGCTACTAAAGCACTATTGATGTTTTCAAGTCTTTAAAATTCTTCAAAGTGTATGAATGTAGGAAATCAAGCATCTCCTGTCAGATTCCTGAGCTGCATGAAAAGGAAGAAGGCTGTGCATGAAGCTGATGCAAACAAATCCATGGTGTTATTAAAGCAAATTGCCACTAACACTCTAACACAAACCATTGTGAATTGCTCCTCACACTCCAAGACACATTGCTGATTTCCATGGTATGTCAGCACACACATCCATCACTATCCTTCTTCCATCCCAGGGATCTCAAAGCACCTCACAGATGGTGCTTAAATGAAGGCCTAAAACATCTTCACTCTTTTTCCACTGTGAGCACAGAGATGTGCTCACCATCCAACAGGAAGTATTAAAATGACAGGAAAGATGAAAGGGTCCTATCTGCACATATGCCTTGCTCTTCCAACCACATAGCACTTCCAGCACATCTGCTCATAATTAGAGAAAGTTGTTTCCTCAAAGACTGCCCTGAGCCATCCACTGACAGCTTTACAGGCAAATCAGGGCACAGAAGGAGTGTTTTGCTACATCCCAATGGATGATGCCATTCAGTTCTGTGTCTGAAGAGCCACACAGCTACAGAGCAGCACTCAATATACTGTGAATTCACACAAGTTTTTGTTGGTTTCAAATGCTCATCTTCTGGTACAGCCAGGTGACAGACACAGGATACAGTCAAAGGTCATACACCAGGGAATCCTACAAAACATACAGGAAGAGAACATAAACACCCAGTGCATCAGCCACCATCTCACAGGCATGCTGTGTGTGCTCTGAGACCTCCCAGCAAAGCAGGCTCATCTGGGAAGTGGGAAAACAAATGTGCACTGGCCAGAGAGCTGTAGAAGGCCAGTGAAGTACCCTTAGAAGTGTTTTCCAATAAATGTGCAGGCAGATTGAGCTTCCTCTGTTCCCTTTCCTCTTCAATACATGCACACACCCAATCTCAGTGTGATTTATGTTGTCATATTTCTCTGGGTAAACCTCTATGCCCAGACTACAAGTGAGAGCAGGAGTCTGAGGAACAGGCAGCACTGGAGATTTGATTTGACAGTTCAGCCCTGAAAAATGTCCCCAATTAAATTACAGAGATACCCCACAGACCTCAAGAGGCTACCAGAACACACATCCAACAACATTGTCCATTAAAAAGGCACCAGCTGTGCTACTCACTGTGTTTGGTTACTGTGTTCCTGGGAGAGAAGTGAACCTACCCAACAATCAGTCCCACAACCCATGAGCCAGCCCTGCCTGGTGTGAGGATACGTGCAGAGCATTATGGAATCCCTGTGGCTATGGGCACCATAGAACAAAAGAGAGAGTTGGCCATACCTGCTCACTTCTTGAGATTGTGTCTGGGTTACCTCTGAAACATCCTCTTCCATGTTCCTGGTTTGTTTGATTTTTAATTCTAGAACTTGGTAACTGATGTCTCACGGTTGTTATCAGTAATACTGTCAGTGTCTATAAAAAGTACATATTTCAACTGATAAATGCTACAGTCTGAAGAAACAATGCGCTGTTAATAAAATGCAGATGAATTCTCAGAGGAAATGAATGGTCTTAAACCCCACAAATTTGAGATAAAAATCCATTCTGCTGCATTTCAAGTAATTACAAGAGAAAAACGCTGAAGACTGTTTCTCCTCAAAACTTGGCAATTTTTATATTATGCTACTATATTCTTATTGAAAAATGATGCTTTTATTCACTACCCCTTTTTTTTACTTTGGCCAGTGCTACAGCCAAACATCTGCTTGTTAATTTAGCAGAGTAAGTTAATGGTTAGTAACCCAGGAGTTTCCAGAGAAGATCCCCACAGATATTTCCTAAGGAAAATTCTCTCTCAAGCTTTGTAAGGATGCACTTAGGAGGGGAGATGACTGAAGAAACAGAAAGATCCAGACAAAGCATCCACGTGATTGTTTGGATAAGTTGGGCTCTTCTCCTGAAAAGCCTCAGTGGAGGATTTGGAACAGGTTTTCAGCTGAAGGCAATCAAAAGTGCAAGTTTCACTCTGAATATGCCACTGTGACTGAAGAAAGCTGGGAGTGCAGGAAATGAGGTTAAAAGCAATAGTGAGGCAGCAGATAGTTCACTGCTCACAGGATTCATTTCTTCCTGTCTTTAGAGAGCTACAGAGAAAAATTAATCATGATTATTACAGTTACACATTCTGAGCCTCTTCCTGCTCACATGTTGACCTATCTCTATACCAGAAAAATTCTTAGGAGCCATCCCAGCTTCACCAAATATATCCCAACAGACAGAATCCTGTATATCTAGGATTTAAGAGACAAATCCCCCAAAAGCCCACTGTCTAAGCAGATACAGCCTAGGCAATCGTCAGAAGCCTC